TCTCACAACTACTGAACACCAATTAATTTGTCTCATTTACATGAAAAAGTGCAGAAGATGTCTTTTTACATAATTAACTATATTTTGCAAGTCATTAAAATTCTGCAGTCTTGCCCACAATAACACCCCATTCACCAGCAGAGATAAGTGTCTCTAGGGAGGGGTGGTGGGAATGGGGGCCAGCGGAGTGCCTCCCCATGCATATTCATGAGGGGGCCCTGGCTGCCACTCCTGCTTGCAGGGTTGTTCAGGGCTACCCCATCAGGGGAGCTGGCGGGGCTTGGGTGGGCTGCTGTGGAGGCAGGCCCCAGAGCTCTGGGCCAGGTCTCACTGCTGGGGAGGCCCCTCCCACTCTGGTCAGTGCTGGGTGCATTCCCAGCCTTCTAGAACCCCCCTGGGTGCCCGTGGTGCCCAGTGCAGAGGACAGAGCCCAGCGCTCACACTGAGGACGGGCCCCTGTCTGCAGGCTGGCCTCTGGGTGATTCCAAAGGAGGAGGCCTTGGCCCAGAGGGAGCGCCCCTCTCCTTCGGGACAGTGTGCTGACAGCGGGGACATTCCGCGCGGAGCCCCTCCTCGCCGCCACAAGCGCACCCTCCATGCAGAGCATGGCTGCTGAGTGGGGAGCCCTCTCCAGCTGCTTCCTCTCTCTGGCCTGGCTCCTCTGGGGGCAAGGCTGACTTCGCCCCCCTCCTGCTGGCTCTGCCATCATTGCAGGAGCTCAGATACATCACCTCTGTAGGCCTCAAGCTCATGTCATAGTGCCTTCCACCTCCAGCTGAGACCACAGCCCTGCAGCCCAGGAGGCCCAAGGCTGTGTTCTGTTGGGTCCTTTCTCCCAGAGTGGAAGAGGGGACCCTGTGGTGACAGCCAGGGAGGCAGGCTCTGTGGGCTTGGGGGCAGCCTGCAGGCCGGCCCATGGGAGGGGTGGGGTTGGGAGGACTGAGGAGGGGTTCTGCTCCCCAGAGAAGTGGGAGGGCACTGCCTTGGGGTCAGGGCAGAAGTCTCAGGTGCTGGCCCTTGACCCCATGACCTTCATTCCAGATAAAATGATGCTGAGCCCCCCCAGGATTTCACCAATACACTGGGGAGGATCCTGCCGTGAACACCCCTCGGCTCTGGTCCCAGAAAGCCAGTCTTTGGGCACTCCAATTAACTTAATTAAATTGTCCTGCCCCAGAGGGAGGCTGTCTCAGTCTGGGGGGAGAAAAGGAATTGAAATTCTGCCCAGTGACAGTAAATATGAAGAAAGTGTTCAGCTTTACACAGAATTAGAGCTGTGACTCCTGGTGAGGACACACCATGACTGTCCCTGGCACAGTGGACTATGGGGTGATTCGAGCCCTGAGGCAGGACAGCAGCCTCTCCCTCACGGGGTGGGGGCATGGGTCACTGAGTAGGAGGAAGGGGGTCACTGAGAGCCACTCTAACAATTTGGCCACTACCCCAATCCAGTGCCTGTGCCCTTTGACCCAGAAGCTTCCCCACCAAACCTCTTAGGCAGATGAAGGCTGAATGTTATTGTCTCAGTGTTGGGCTCTGCAAATGCTGTCCTGGAAATACCCTCCAAAGGGCTTGTTCTCATAAACTGTGATGCCTTTCAGACCACTGTCCCTGTGCCATCCCAGTTAGAATCCATGGGCCAGCTCATTGTCCCTGTGCCATCCCAGTTAGAATCCCATGGACCAGCTCATTGTCCTTGTTCTATTGAGACAGGCCAGAAGCCTGGACAAGTGGAATAGGGACACTGAGACCGATAGCTAAACAAACTGCAGAGCAACTTATAACAGACATAGAAGGTCACCTCCCTATAAATAACATCGAGGCCTCAGTTGCATTCCAGCTCCACACCCCAAAAGGCAGCAAAACCAGGTGGGCGACACCAGGATCAGCTGTGATGACCATTGACCCCCTGCCCTGACACTGACCAATCAGTGGAGACCATGACCCTGAAGGAGCGCACTAGAAAACTGATGAATATTCTGTTGAAACCCTCCCCTGAGACCTCCCCTAAGATCCCTGCCTGCAAGAGAGAAATTAAAGCCTCAAGATAGAGGACCCAGCTGTGCTCTCCCTTTGGGGAGCACCCTGCCATTCCCTTTCCCCTCTTCTTCCCCAGGGTCCTGCAATGGGCCCCCACGAGACTTGCAACCTGGGGAGCAATGGGCGTGGCAGCTTGCTGCAGACCAATCCCCTGAACCTGGTCACAAGTCCCCCTTTTCTCTGACTTCCCAGAGAGCAAGGGCAGCCAAGCTAGGCTTTCCTGTTGCTTCTTCTATGCTAAGCCCTTTCTTGTTTGACGTCCCCAGCTTTAGTAAATGTTCCCTCATAGTCATCTGGATTCGTGTTGTGAAATTTTTCTTGCACCAAGTCAAGAACCCACACACTACTGGCTGGCCCTAGGCAGACCCCCCCAAGGGTTGACAGGTCTCCTTTCATAACACTATTCCAGTTAGAATCCCATGGATCAGCTGATCGTCCTTGTTCCATCCCAGTTAGAATCCCATGGACCAGCTCAGGTGAGGCCAGTCTTTGTCCTTGGGCACCCTCTTGGGACCTGACCTGCTCAGTCTGCTTCTGGCCCTGTGCACCCCAAAGCTGCTCTGCTCAGCCCCTCCCTGGCTAGTGATCTGTAATTGGGGTCATACTGGTCATGGCAGAGGGAAATGGTCGCAGGGAGGCCCCTCGCCCCCCCCCCCGCCCCCATCTGCTTCACTGGGAGAGACCCTTGGACTTCTGCCTCATCCCATGCTCAGTCAGGCCCTCGGGGTCCTGGCTGCGCAGTAACCCCTTCTGCATGCCTGGGCCTGAGCGTGGTTCCTGTCGCCGTGTGCAGACAGCTTTTTAAAAAAATATTTACTTTTATTGATTTCAGAGAGGAAGGGAGAGGGAGAGATAGTAACATCAATGATGAGAGGGAATCACTGACCGACTGCTGCCTGCACGCCCCCCACTGGGGCTCGAGCCCACAGACCAGGCATGTGCCCTTGACCAGAACTGAACCTGGGACCCTTCAGCCCTCAGGCTGACGCCCTATCCTCTGAGCCAGACAGGCTCCTAGTATCTGCCCCTGCTGTGTCCAGGCCCCTCCTGCAGAAGCCTAGCATCAGGCCAAGGCTCGCTGCCTCTTCCTACCTGCATCCCTCACTATTTCCCCCACCTCACCCCCGCACTCTCCCCACAAGGACAGCAAAGGGGTCCTGGGCTGAGCACAGGTGAGTGGTCAGAGTGACATGGGCTCTATAAATTGTCTTGTCAAAATGCCAGGGAGAAAAACCCACTTCAATCCAGAGAAGAATGTGGATGTGAATTAGCATTTTTAAAACAAAGGAATTACAAAACGGCAGGAGTCTAACAGCTCACAGGAGTGACAGCCCGAGGCAATGAGCTTGCTCTCTTCCCAAATCTTCCTGTTTTATTTCACGGGCAGACCCCTCCCCACTCCACACTGAAAGTCACTTTCAGACGAATTAAAGACAAACACGAAAGGAAAACAACACGGGAGAATGTTTCTGTTACTTAGGGAGAGCAGAGACTTTGCTGAGAAAACAACGCGAAGACACAGCCACAATCACTGTTATTTTAAATTAAATCAGGAAACGATGACAAGATGGAGAATTTCACCAAAGAACTGGAACTTATTCGTAAAGAATCAGATGGAAATCCTAGAACTGAAATATCCAGTAAGTAAAATTGAGAAATAAGCAGATGGGTGTGACAGCCAATGACACGGCTCAGGTTCAGGAGGGATCTGCACTGGGGTTCAGCAGGCACACGTTGGCCCTGGACCTGATGTCTTCCTTGCCTTTGCCCCCAGGCACCTCCCTGCCCTCCCCCGCCCCCCTGCCCTACCTCTACAGCTGGCACAGGACATGCCCTCCGGGCTAAGGGACCAGCTGCCTGAGGATTTATCCTGACGGAGGAGTTAGTGGTGACCCAGGGAAGGCAGTGAAAGCTGTAGTCAGGGGAATGCTCAACTGCTCAGCAGGCCCCGAGCTGAGAGCAGGGTGTGCTGTCTGCTCTAGGATCCTCGAGGCGTGTCCCCATCACATGGACTGAGTGCTCCTCTGGGTCCCTCAAGGTACCCTGAGCTGGTGACCATGAGCAGAGACCTCCATCCCTACCCGTGGCCTGGAGGGCATCTCCCTACTGGGTGTGCTGGGCTTCCGCCCTGGGGAGCCCTTGCTCTCCGCTCCCTCCAGCATCCAGGGCAGGTCAGTTGTGTCTCACCTTTGTGGGGGGACGAGGATGGGCTTGGGGCCCTTCACCCAACTGAGTAAGCACGTGTGTTCCCTGAGGACGGGAGGGAAGCGTCTGTGGAAAGTTCTCCAGGGCAGCAGGCCCGGTCCCCAGGCAGCATGTGCCCCACCACAGTCCCGCTAAAGGATCCCTCATCAGTGCTGCCCTCGCTGGGAGGTGTGGTGAGAGGGCCCTGACTGGGAGAGTGCTGGCTGCCGTGTAGGCGCCGTGCCCAGGATGAATGGGACTCTGTGTGTGCAGGGCGGGGACCCAGAGAAGGCCTCTTTCCCCCTTTCAATGCTCAAAGGCAAACGTGACCTTTCAAAGCTGCCTGACCCCAGGATGGAGGCCTGTCCCCAGAGTGAGACCAGAGCCAGGACGACAGTAGATCAGTGTTCTGGCCTCAGGCAGGCGGGGCCTGGGATGCAGGCCTGGCACTGGTGCCCAGGTGAATGCCCCTCAGGCCCGTGGTTGGCTCTGCTCTTGAGGACGGGGTGCGCACCTCTTTGCAAGGCAGCCCCGGAAGGAGGGGGTCAGCACCATGGGGCGGGTCTCCACCCCAACCTCTCACTAGCTCGAAGCACTGGGCACAGCAGGGCAGGATGCCTCCAGATGGGGGTGGCCTGGAGTCCCCTTTCCCCTGGACTGATTCCCACCCCCACCCCCAGCACCCTGGCTCTTGATTCTGGTCCCCTGTACCACTGTCTAGATTTCCCAGCTCCCCAACATGCTGGACCAAACCAGCCCTGCACACCTCACCTCGAGCAAGTGCACAGCCATCCAGGGAAAAGGAACAAGTCATCCAGGCAGAGGCCTCGTACGCCACCCTCAACCGCAGCCTCAGAGCACCTCCTTCCCCAATGCCCTCCTCCATGGGTGGCCAGCGACAGCGCGGTAGTTCAATCTCTGAAGCCCTTTTGTTGCTTTCTTACACTTGAAGAGGCACGTTTCTGAAGAGTTTATAATAATGGGGGAAAAACGCAATGAAATGGTAAAAGCTGGTTAAAACTTTACAGAAAGTAGAAGCCTCATTCTACTGAGAAGAAATCCATGGAAAGTGTTGGGGAGGAATCCTGGCAAAGCAGGTGTGGTGGCTGCAGCACTCTCCCCTCTGTCCATCCCTGTCTTCCTCCATCCACCTCCACCTCTCCACCCACCCCTGTCCACCTCTGTCCACCTCTGTCCACCTCCATCCACCTCCATCCACCTCCACCTCTCCACCCACCCCTGTCCACCTCTGTCTACCTCTGTCCACCTCCATCCACCTCCACCCCATCCATCCACCCCTGTCAACCTCTGTCCATATCCATCCACCCCATCCACCTCCATCCACCCCATCCACCTCCATCCACCCCTGTCCACCGCTGTCAACCTCTGTCCACCTCCATCCACCCCTGTCCACCTCCATCCACCACATCCACCTCCATCCACCTCCATCCACCTCCATCCACCTCCATCCACCTCCATCCACCTCCATCCACCTCCATCCACCTCCATCCACCTCCATCCACCTCCATCCACCTCCATCCACCTCCATCCACCTCCATCCACCTCCATCCACCTCCATCCACCTCCATCCACCTCCATCCACCTCCATCCACCTCCATCCACCTCCATCCACCTCCATCCACCTCCATCCACCTCCATCCACCTCCATCCACCTCCATCCACCTCCATCCACCTCCATCCACCTCCATCCACCTCCATCCACCTCCATCCACCTCCATCCACCTCCATCCACCTCCATCCACCTCCATCCACCTCCATCCACCTCCATCCACCTCCATCCACCTCCATCCACCTCCATCCACCTCCATCCACCTCCATCCACCTCCATCCACCTCCATCCACCTCCATCCACCTCCATCCACCTCCATCCACCTCCATCCACCTCCATCCACCTCCATCCACCTCCATCCACCTCCATCCACCTCCATCCACCTCCATCCACCTCCATCCACCTCCATCCACCTCCATCCACCTCCATCCACCTCCATCCACCTCCATCCACCTCCATCCACCTCCATCCACCTCCATCCACCTCCATCCACCTCCATCCACCTCCATCCACCTCCATCCACCTCCATCCACCTCCATCCACCTCCATCCACCTCCATCCACCTCCATCCACCTCCATCCACCTCCATCCACCTCCATCCAGTGATCCAGGACCAGAGGTGGATTAGCTGTGTGGCTATTGCAGCTCAAGCTTCGGGGCCCTGTTTGCACCAAGCCCTTACTATACCCCTTCCCCTGATTTTTATCTGTAATTGTGTGTGTGTGTGTGTGTGTGTGTGTTTCTGAAAGAGGGAGGGCACACAAACCATCCACCTCCATCCACCTCCATCCACCTCCATCCAGTGATCCAGGACCAGAGGTGGATTAGCTGTGTGGCTATTGCAGCTCAAGCTTCGGGGCCCTGTTTGCACCAAGCCCTTACTATACCCCTTCCCCTGATTTTTATCTGTAATTGTGTGTGTGTGTGTGTGTGTGTGTGTTTCTGAAAGAGGGAGGGCACACAAATTTAGCTTGATGGATCCCTGCCCTGGACACCCTTCAAAGGACCCTCCCTTGAGACCTTCCCAGGTCACTAGATGGAAATGAGGCTGACAGCCAGGGCGCCGGGTGTGGCAAGTAACTGAAAACAGCCCCAACGGGCTGAGGCAATTAGGAAATTACCTACTCCTATTGCTGGAAATTCCAGAAGTAAGTAGTTCAGGCATGAAGCATGGTTTCCCTGACGTCCTCTCCGCTCTGCTCCTCGTGGGTGACAGATGCGTCTCTGGGTGGGCTTCCTGGGGTGGGAGCAGCCCTCATCTCTCCCTGCTCTGCTGAAAGCTGCGTGGTGCCACAGGGTAGCCCTGGCCTCGTGTGGCTGCTGAGCACTGGAAACACGGCTTCTTGGGGCTAAGATGTGCTGTAAGTGTGAAATACCTAATTTTGAAAACATAGAAGTGTAAAATATCTCAGCAGTAACTTTTAATAGATTACCTGTTGAAATGATAATATTTGGGGTATTTGAGTCAACATATTAAAGTTAATTAATTGTATGTATTCCTTCTTATTTGATTTAACATGACTCCTAGGAAACTGTAAACAACACATGTGGCTTTGTACTGTCTCTATCTGACAGCCCCAGAAGAAGCCAGAAGAAGCCTAAACGTTCTGGTCTCAGCCAACGCCCCCCCCCCCACCCCGCCCCCCCAGCAAGGCGGCCATGTATGGGGGCAGGGCTGGGCTCTGGCATGGATTAGGAGGTGTGGTGGAGCCAAGAGAACCCAGTTCTTTGATGTTCTTCCCACGGCGTTGGAATCTGAGCAGGCCTAAGTGACCTGCTGACCAAGACATGTTCTGGACGTCCCAGCTCGCCATGAAAGTCCCGCCGCTTCCACCCAAGAACGCTCGCTCTTGGAGCCCAGCACCCGGAGATCACCTTGCTGGACACCACATGTAGGGCTCGGTCAGGAGACCCGGATGAGCCCAGCCATCCCACCAAGACAAGGCCCTGGACATGTGACTTCAACAGGCGAGGACAACAGGCCGCTGAGCCTCTGGGCAGCTTGGCTAGAGCTGTCTGAGCACAAACATGTGGGCAGACCCAACAGGAGAGCTGAGCCCGATTCACCCCTAAAACCAGGAGAAAGTTGTGGTTTTGTGCCACTAAATGTTCTTTTTAAAAATGGGTGGGGGTTGGGGGGTGAAGAGAAGGAAATTGGGAGATACCTGTAATACTATCAACAATAAAAAATATAGCCTTAGTCAGTTTGGCTTAGTGGAGAGTGTTGGCCTGGGGACTGAAGGGTCCCGGATTCGATTCCTGACAAGGACACCTACCTCGGTTGCAGGCTCCTCCCCAGCCCGGACCATGGTTGGGGCTCATTCGGGAGGCAACCAATCAATGTGTTTCTCTCACATCCATGTTCCTGTCTGTCTTTCCCTCTCTCTTCTACTCTCTCTAAAAATCAATGGAAAAATATCCTCCGGGGGTGGGAGAGGGAAAAGGGAGGTGAAAAAAAAGGGGGGGAGGGAAAGAGGGAGATGGGAAGGTGATAGTCAGACAAAGAGGTGTGAGGATGCGAGCAGAGGTGGGAGAGAGGTTTGAAGAGGAGGTGACACTGGCATAGAAGGTGGAGGAAGGGGCTGCCTCCAGAAGCTGGAAAAGGCCAGGAATCGGGTTCCTCCCTGGAGCTGCCATGAGGAACGCAGCCCCCCGACACCCGATTTCAGGACTTCTGACCTCCAGACCATAAGATAACACATCTGTGTTGTTTGTGTTAATCAGCTACAGCAGCGACAGGAAACTTACCACGCTGGTGTGACCATGCAGGACCCCCGAGGTTGTGGTGTGGCCACAGGTGAGAGGGGTACCCGTGACTGTCAGTGTAAGTGCTAGAGTTGGGGCCACAGTCTGCTGGGTGCATTACGTTTGAGCAGGAGATCTGGATGGCACTGGAACCTTCCGCGTGCCGCATCAGAATGTGCAAACATTCTCACCGCTCCCAGGGCAGACGCATTTGTTTTGAATTATCTTTGTAAAAAAAAAAAAATGTGGGGGCTGTGACATGTTAATAGTAGCTTACAACTGAGATCATTTTAGTCAATGCAGCCACTCTGGAAAAAATGAATTGCAGCAGCGAAGGCTGGCGGAACTCCCCATCAGCCGTGTGCAGACAGGCCTTGTCATCGCGTGCCACCATTTTCGGGAGTTACATCGAGCGCCTGTCATGGATGGTCTGTGCAAACTGTTTGCATCTTGTTAGAATCCGATCCTGGTTCAGATTTCCTTCTGCGAAGCCCTTGAGGAAGACTAGCCACGTCTGTTTCATGTTGGTTGCTGTTTCTTTGCTGAAATCCGCTCATTCTGTCCACATGTCTTCCACGGCTGCTCCTTTGTGGGCCAAGCACATGCGATTGCTGGGGGTGCTGGTGAGCCCGCTGCTGTAAGACGGGAAGCCAGAGGCCGAGCCTCCCCAGCAGGGCACCTGAGTCTTCTCTTGGGTCTTGGGTGGGGAACAGGAGCTCGAGGGGGAGCCCTGTTCCTTTGAAGTGAGTGCCAAGATGAGATGACGAGAACAGGATTTATGTCAAAGTGTGATCTAAGGAGAAGTCACTGCTGTCTTCAGTCATCTGTGGCTTTGTGTCGGCTACATTCGGAAGACCCTATCACGGATGGCAAGCCTGTTGGGGGGTCAGTAACGACACTGCCAGCTCTCCGGAACAGTGCACCTTATCTCCTGGAGATTTCCCCTCCTCCCCAAGTCTTTAAGGATCCATGCAAACTCTGCTGAAAGCTGGTTTCTCCATGGCTCAGCTGGGCCAGACAGCAGCACTGAGGAGTCACTGTCTGTGCCTCCTCAGGTTCGACACCAGCAGCATCGCCCACAACGAAGTCGGCTTTTGTTAAGTAGTAAGTCTGCTGACAAGGGAGGTGTGCAAGCCAAGGCTGGCGGTCCACATGGATCCTGCAGATGGAGCTGCAGTGGGGCTCTGGGTGATGTGCATGGCCCTGTCCTGGCTTTAGCTGCAGGCTACCCTCTCAGTGCCAGGGGCCGAGAGGCACTGGCACATTCACAGCCAGTGGCGGGCTGCTGAGACCATTTGTACACATCTTCCTTTGTGTCTGTGCCACTGTCCAACTTAATATTGCAAATGGATGGCCTGGCTATGTAACCAAGCTTCTCCATCCTAATTCAGTGTGATTTCAGTGCAGAACTCTCCTTGCTTATGAGACTATGAGAAATAACACCAAGAATGGTAAATACGTGTCCTTTAAACTGAATCCATGACCTTGCTTTATGGCAGCTTTAACAATTTGTGACCATTTTTTCTGTTCCCAAACCAGGGAGGACTTTTTTTGGAAACTGATCATAAGATTAGCACGGGGGTCTTCAAGCATCACCTTTGTGACCATGTGGGTCTCCGGGCGAGTGAATGAGGACCACAGTCAACATGTTACAGGCAACACACATCCACACGCTCACGTAGCACCATGGGGTCTGGAGCCCTGGGCTCACACACCTGGGGGGTGGGGGGTAGAAGAGACCTGGAGGCCTGAGCAAGGACATCAGTGCTGCCTAGACCAGCCAGCCCCAGACAAGACAGTGTCCAGGCGACCTGGTGGGGCACCTTCTGGTGGTGCCCGGCACCTGAGCAGGGCACGCCTGGCACCTGCAGACGTGATGAGCGTGCGTGCCCTCCACACCCCAAGCTGGAAGCAGAAACGCAGACAGCTCAGTGCGGCTTTGACCTCAGGCAAACCTGCTCACTGACTCACTAGCTGAGAGGCCTTGGGGAGCCACTGGGTGGTTTCTAGCCTGTTTCCCCAAGTGTTGATCCAGCCTAGAGACCCACCCACTCTCCAGGGACCTGAAGGTCTGGGTGGGATCTGTGCTCGAGGTGGCAAGACATTAGGCATGAAGCCCAGAACCCACCCTCCCTCCCACCCTCCCCCAGGTTGGGCAAGCTGGGCTCCCCCTGTGCCCTCCCTCTGGGCATGCCTCACCACAGGCCTGAGGCTGAGGGGGAAGGAGCCTGGTCTTTGTGTGGCCGTCCCCAGCCAGCCTGGGCACATGCCCGAGCAGGACGGAGCTGCCTCGCTGATTCACTGAATGATACAGACAGTAGCATTGTCCTGGACCCGGTCCCCTAAGCACCTGCTGGGAACAAGGAGTCCTGCATCAAAGCTACTAAAGTCAAATGCAAAAAGGGAGGCTGGAACTTTCCGGGCTGACTCAGAGGTCAAAGGTGAGAACACCTGGAAGGACGGAGAGGGAACCAGTAGTTGCCTTGGCTTAAACTCTCCAGAGATGTGGCACATGGAAATATATTTTCATAATGTTAATTTTCTTATGCCTATTTCAGTGATAAGACAGAACCTGAATTCCATCACTTGATTCTTTGTAATCAATTTATTTATTGAGGTATAACAAACTATAAAATGTTAGACAGCTGGATACATTTTTCTGTATGCATACAAATGTAAAACTATCACCCTGATCAAGATATAGACCATTCCCATCACCTTATAATACAGCAGTTCTCAACCTGTGGGTCGAGACCCCTTTGGTGGTCGAATGACCCTTTCACAGGGGTCGCCTAAGACCATCAGAAAACACATATATGATTACATATTGTTTTTGTGATTAATCACTATGCTTTAATTATGTTCAATTTGTAACAATGAAAATATATCCTGCATATCAGATATTTACATTACGATTCATAACAGTAGCAAAATTACAGTTATGAAGTAGCAACGAAAATAATTTTATGGTTGGGGGTCACCACAACATGAGGAACTGTATTAAAGGGTCGCAGCATTAGGAAAGTTGAGAACCACTGGCTTAGAGGGTTGAATACACACCAAAACTCATCCCTAGACCTACTTTTAAATCCAACAGAACATTCTGTAGGCTTCACTCATTTTGAAGAGAATAATATGTGCACCAGGCAGATCTGATCCACTGGAGGAGACACTTCCAGGGCCCCTGTCCTGGTGGCCAGCAGCAGGGCGCAGCCGCTGCCCAGCCCCCACCCTCGGGACAGAGCAGCCATCAAGGCCCCAGCCCAGAGGATCTGCCTCTGTGTCTGCAAGTCCCCCTGGGCCCCCAGCCAGCCCTGCCCCCCAGGTCTCAGCCCACCTGCCACAGGAATGGCAAATGGTATCTAAATGGTGTCAAACACCCCAGAGCTTCCTTTCAAACTTATTCTGTGTCCAAATGCTGTAAGAGAGCGTCACCCAGCACCGTGGGAGCGGGAGGAGTAAATACGATGTGCCACCAGCTCCCTCCCCAGCTTAACCACAAATGTGCCAGAGCAGGGTCACCATGAGCCTGAGAAGCCAAGGGGCAGAGTGAAAGGCTCATGTGCGGGAGGGACAGTGGGCTGGCGTGGAGGTCTCGCAACCAAAGAGAGGGGAGCTGACAGCAGCTGAGGGAGAAGCTAAGGTACGGGGGTGGGGAGGCAGGGGGGGGCAGAGCAGCCCTGTGCTCATCACTGTCATTCTAAAATGGGGAAATGGAGGCAAAGAGCCATGAAACCGGGTGTCAAGTTTCCTCATTCCCAGTTGGAGACAAAGTCATCTCATTGTATGAAGATGTTTGGGGTGCCCAGCTCTGTTGGGTAAGTTCAGATTCGCATCCAAAAATCAACCCCAAATATTGTGAGGCTACCGCCACACCCCAGGCCCCGCGTGGGGACGTCAGCTGGAGGAAGGACAGGGCCAGAGTAAGCAGAGATAGAGCCCTCGACCCTGGGCTTCCTTCCCACCCACCCCTACCATGTTCGATGGCCGTAGAGAAGCCCCACCCTGAAGGCCCCACCAGATTGGAGATCCAGGTGCCTTTTTTATGCGGGGGTCAGCGGGGGGCCTTCAGAGACTGTTTCATCCCACACCCCGTTTTACAAAAGGGATACAGTCCCATTGAGCGTTGGCCCTGACTGGGCATGAGGGGCTGCACCCCAGGCTCTGCTCCCAGCAGCAGGCCTCCAGCTGCAGGTCCAGCACCCGGCTGTGGCAGAGAGGAAATCATGACCTTGACGGAGGTCACAGGGAATGCAGGGGCAGCACGGAAGGATGTGCCTTCAGGCCTCTGAGATACTGCTCTGTGCTTATCTTTCTGTAACCTTGGGGCTTAAAAGTAATTAAAAATTGATTTTCTTTTACTTTGTGGTCCTGAAATTTCAGGGGTCTAATTTCAGGATATAGCTGGATCTCCTCCGCCAGCCCACCTCCTGACTTCCCTCCCACCCGGGCCCCAGCAAAGGGCTGAACAGTGTCCTTGCCGACCCCGTGGCCCTTGTGAAGGGTCACCTTGGAGAAGCCTCCTGGCTGGCTCCCGCTGCTTTCAGAAACAGACCATAATCATTTAGCGGAATCAGGTCATGGCCCAGCACATGTTGGTAACATGTCTTCTTGCTGGACCACCCCCTCCTGCACTGGACACAACACTCGCCACGGCCCAGATGTGCTCGCAGCCCGGCCCTTCCACCTGGACGCCTCTCCTCCTCATCCCTGGCCTGGCTGAGACAGATGCGGGAAGCATCTAACTGCAGCACCTTGGGCTGAGCTCACCCCGACCGGTTTGTGGAAACCTCCCAGCGCCCCGAGGTGTGAATGCACCCCATTTGCAATCGAGAAGTGGACTCAGAGAGGCTGAAAGGCTGTCCAAGGTTTGCACAGCTGGTAGGTGGGGGAGCGGTTTCCTGTCCTGGTCTGCCTGTTCCCAGAGGCCTTACTGGTGACCTTGCCTGACCTTGAGTTTCCAGTCACTGCCATCCCCTGGCCACACCAGCTCAGCCCCAAGCCATTCGGCACCTCAAGAGCACGTGTCCCCTCTTCTGTGCTCTGTGCTCACGGGGGCCTGGCGGGGTGTGCAGCCACGATGCTGGGGACAAGGTTCTTGGATCCAGAGGATGGGGTTGATCTCAGATCCCAGAGCTGGCCTGTGCCAGTCCGGCTACCCCTCAGGCCTTCCCTCACGTCTTGTAGAGCAAAGCCAGGAGCCCAGCGAGCCACCTGTGGTGGGAGCAGAAGGCCCAGGCAGCTCTCCCGGGGCTCGTCAGACTGTAATTGAATAGGATGGGGCTCTCAGGAAGTC